ATTCATCATAAATTCCTTAGTGTTAATGTAGATGACCTATCTTTGATTGAATTAAGAAAGGATTAGTGATGAGCTAAATTTGTATAGATATTAATATGAAATTTTTGTCTTGATTTTATTGATATTGGGATGAGTTTTATGAAATTTTATTTGATTTTACATAATTTTTATTCTTTGTATATGAAAGGACTTAATTGGAAGAACTCATAATTTTTAAGAGCAAATTGCAAAGATAAAAAAGCTTAGGATTAAGTTGTGTAGAGTTTAAAAGTTAGGGACCAAGATTGCCATTTTACCATTAATAGAGATTGCTTAAAAGGCTAAAAATCGAGTAAAAGTGCAAATAAGGATTCCAACTTTGCACTTTTTTCTATTTAAGGATGTTAACTTTGACAGTTTCTAAATAAGGATGTCAACTTTCAATTTTTTTTTTTAAATAAGGATATTAACTTTGTCAGTTTCTAAATAAGGATGTTAATTTTGTCAGTTTCTAAATAAGGATGTTAATTTTGTCAGTTTCTAAATAAGGATGCTAACTTTCAACTTTTTTCTATTTAAGGATGTCAACTTTCAACTTTTTCTATTTAAGGATTAATTGAATAGTGATGCTGAACGTGGCTAACATATTTTTTTAGGTTAAATATTTGAATTGGTCCCTTAACTTTTATTTTTGAACCAATTCATCCTTGAACTTCAGAAAGTACCAAAAACATCCTTCAACTTCAATTTTCAATTTCGTCTTTTCGTCAGTTAAATGTTGATGTAGCTAATTTTTTCACTAAGTGATTGACTATTTTATATTTTCAATATTAGGTGGAAAATCCATCATGTAAAAGATGATTATGTGGATTTTTTTTTAATTTTAAATAATATACAAACTACTTTAATTCTTAATTTTACTTTATTTATATTTAAAAATTAAAACAATTAATATATTTTCCCATTTAATTAGTCCCACCTACCATTTAATAAAGTTAAATAAAATTTAATTAATTCTTCCATGAATTAGGAAATAATTTTATTTATTGAAAATTGAAGTTGAAGGACATTTTTGGTACTTTCTGAAGTTTAAGGATGAATTGGTTCAAAAATAAAAGTTGAGGGACCAATTTAGGTATTTAACCTAAAAAATATAGTACCCACGTCAGCATCACTATTCAATTAATCCTTAAATAGAAAAAGTTGAAAGTTGAAAGTTGATATCCTTAAATAGAAAAAAGTTGAAAGTTAACATCATTATTTAGAAACTGACAAAGTTAACATCCTTATTTAAAAAAAAGTGCAAAGTTGAAATCCTTATTTGCACCTTTACTCGCTAAAAACCCGACACGGTGATTTCAATCTGCGCTTAATAGAAGGTGTCGGCACCTAGTCGAAGGTATTGACATCTTATGCTATTTTTAGAAAATTTGTGCCTAACTTATTATTTTGGTGTGAGTTATACTTCTATTTCAATTAAGTTATTTAAAATTTTATAAATATTCATCTAAGTTTAGAATTAAAAAAGGAGCTTTAGAGGCTAGTGGCAACTCTCTTTCGGATACTCTTTGAGATATGATAGATGATTCATCAATAATAAAATATTAAAAATTTCAACTCCTTCAAATTAGGTTTTATTTTTTTAAAATATTCTTATATTCATAATTATAATTTCAAGTTTTATTACTTTTATTATGAATTAATTTATTCTATAAGGGTTACGATGTAAATAATCAATTTAACATAGATTTTATAATTTTTATATTTTCAATTAAAATTATTAGCATGATGATTTTATGTTATTGAATTTAATATATTAAAAGCTTAATCACATTTCAATTAATTTAGTAATTTATGCATGAACTCAAAAAAAATTGTATAAATTAGATCGATAATAGTATAAATCATGTGTTAGACTATAAAATCGAGAGGTAATTAGCGTCACATATGTGGTAAAGGAGGAAGAGAAGAGAGCTAAGAGCTAAGAGCTCTCCCTTCTTAAGTTAAAACTTTTCATAAAATTTAATACTCATTAATTTGTTTAAAATTGATATGACTAATTTAACAAGGCAATGATGGATTAATTTGACTTGAGAAAATTAATTAATTTAGGAAAATCTGCTATCATATGCAATAATACTCAATAAATTGATTTTAGAAGCATATTAATTTAAAATTTATATTGATTGATTATTGTGAAATAAATGCCTTAATATCTCATATCTTGATTAATTTTATTTTAATTGTTGTTTTCGTTTTATTATTTTTAATTAAAGTTTTTTCTTTTCTGATTGTTGAAATAAATTTAGGTTAATTATTTTTTATGCTTAGTTAAACATAATTTTTTGTGAATTTAATACTTTTCTCATCATTATATTATTTGAACTTAAAGTGACTAATACACTTGTTAAAGTGATTTTAACACATCAATTAGTCTTAAGATATGAATAAACAAACCCAAAAATACATTGACTACTAAACAATTAAAAAAAAAACATGACTATATCGTGTGTTCAATGGCCTATATGTCGTAACATATGT